GGGGGGGGCAAGAATAAAACAAACGAATCCACGCAGATATGTTTGAATACATTTTTAACGTCTGTTTGATTTCACAATAAACCTTGGCATGCTCTTGGCTTACACACTTTTTAGGAAATAAAAATACATGGATGCAAAATTTCTATTTTCGAATTATATACTGGAGTCAGATTAATTTTTTTTTTTATGCATTGAACTTTTTCAAATTTTCTTTCATTTTTATCAAACTATTTAGTATTGTTGAATGAATTTGCTTACGCTATCATGTTTCCCCAGTTATGAATTAACGTTGAATCAAATGACTTATTTAATTCTTATTACAATTAATTGTTTCTTTTTAAAGTCGTTCTATGGAAATAAATTGCTATGATTGAATTGGTTTATGAGATTATGAACTGCAGCCCTGCGTAAATGGATCTTTGACATTGTCACTGCCACTGAATGAGTTCAAAGAAATCGTTGCCAGAAAAGTCGCCCCATTCCCGACTGATTCGTTTTTTACTCGAAAAGTGACCTGGAAAAAGAAGCCATCGACCGGACGCTAACGTGTGTGATGTCCTTCAGGGGGGTCAGTGTATATACAGCAGCAAGGAGGGCGGCAGCGGCGACGAAGACTCGTCGGACCTCAATTCTCTGCTCTACCACCTCCGACCTTACTTCCTGTACGCCAACAACCGCATCCACGCTCACGTGAGCGGCAAGGCTGTCCTCAGCGACTTCATCCAGGTGAGCGATCTCCACGCTCAATTTAAAAAGAGGATTGGTGGGGAGATGCGTAGCTGAAGTTACGGCACGCAGGTGCTGGTCAACGCCCTCCTGAACAGCGGCGGCGGCGGAGGTGGCGGGGTCACGACGGACCGGCGGGAAGAGGGCCGGACTTACTGCGAGGCCAGCGTCTTCAACAAGGAGAGAAGTCGACACGGTCAGACCAGACTCCGCTTTCTGACCTCGGTGTAGCTCGTCTTGAGCTGCCTTCATGATGAAAATGACCGTGGCTAAATGCTGGTGATGTAGCTTGTCTTCATATGTCACCATGAAAATGACACTGACTAAACGCCGAAGACGCATGTGGCATCTCTTCATTTGTCATCACCACACTGACTAACAGCCTGATTGCTTGCAGTCTTTCTTGTTGCGATGCTAATGTTGACCACGTCTAGCATCTCGTCAAATGACTAATCGCTGGACATGTAGCATCTCCATCTCATGATGAGCACACCGAGTAAATATTGACGATGTGACACTGTCCACACACTGTAGGTTGAATCTCTTCATCGGTCATTAAGTTGAAAACGGGACTGACTAAATACTGGTCATCATGACAAAGATGATCATGCATGTCTTGATACAGTGGATAAACGGCATCATAATAAGGACACTGACTAAACGCCGGTGGTGGCGCGTTTCTGTCTCCAGCTCACCGACAACACTGATTACTGGCTGGTGACACTGGCTAATTTCTGATGTAGCATCTCGTCAAATCATGCTGCCATTGTGTAAATGCTGGCGACACACCATCGACTGAACAGTTAGTTGACCGAAAAAAAAAAACATGCAAACGATGTTCCTCCTGATGTCACCAACGAATAGCGTTGTGGTGCTTTCTCGTGAGTCGTGTTGACGACGCCCGACTAAATGTCGGTAACGACGTCGCCTTGATGTTGTGCGCGCAGGCTCTCAGGGTTTGCCCCATGACAGTGTCCTCTCCCGCATCCTGAACACGCAAATGTTGGACAGCTTGAACATCGAAGGCCTTTATCCGCTCTATCGGCGAGTGGAGCAACACCTGCGTGACTTCCCCAAGGAGAGGTAACGTCGGCACGGCTGACATCACTTCCTCTCGACGCCTCACAAATGGCAACACTTCCTGCCCAAGAGAGTCTTTTGAGTATTTTATGTGCGCGAAAAAAAGAAAACCGTTTGTGTATCTGTGTGATAGCATAACTTAAGAGTAGCGTACCTCAACCAAAAAAATCTATCATTAATGCGCATGAGCGTTGTAGTACTTTGTGGTAATGGTTTAGTTGTGCATTTGAGAAGAATTGTCACTCGTGTGTGTGTGTGTGTGTGTGTGTGTGTGTGTGTGTGTGTGTGTGTGTGTGTTTCAATAGTTTGTAAGTGGAAAATGTCAGTATTGAATGAGAACCTTTCAGTGTGTGAGTATGTTTGGGAGTGGATATGAGAGAAAAAAATAGTGCGCGTTAGCACGTAAGTAGTTTGTTTTAAGAACATTTTAATAGTGAATGTGAGTGGAAAAAGTCAATATTGTGTGTGACGCTTTCAGAAGTGTGCATGAAAGGGTTTAAGAAGTGAGTGTGAGCGCATTAAATTCTGTGAGAGAAAATTTGCTCTTTTCATGTTTCGGTGGTGTGTGTTTGAGTATTTTGGTAGTGCATGATTAAAAAAAGATTTGGTGAGCAGGAGTTGTAAATCTGAGTGAAGATGTCAAGACTGTGTGTGAGAGTTTCAGTAATGGCGTTAAGAGTGTTTTAGTGTTGCCAGCGTGAAGCAGTTTTATGTGAGTGGAGGAAAAATGTGTCTGGAGTGTTTCAGTGGGATCCTGTCAGTACTTTGTGTGTTTCAGTAGTGAGTGAGAGCCAAATACTTTCAATCTTGCGTGTGAATTTCAGTAGTGCCGATGAGAGTGTTTGAGTTGTGTGCCCAGAAAAATATGACAATGAGAGCCTTCCGGTAGTTGATATGAGAGGAAGAAAAATAAGAAAATAAAGCGTGTGTGAGGCAGACCGAAATATTGTTCGTCTTGGCCGCTCAGCTTGTTTTCCACTCCATGCCAACGTGCCACATGACATCACTTCCTGTGTCCTTCTCATGTGACATCACCCCCCCCCCCCAAACCAGAAATGCCCTGCAGGTGGACGGCCCGTACAACGAAGCGTTCCTGGAGCATCTGCAGAAGTGTCCCGCGGAGGACGACGGCTCGCTGGACTTCGCCGTGTCCAAGGTGAGACGGACTGTTGCCGTGGGGCGATGCCCTGGCTTGCCCTTGCCCTTGCCCTTGCCCGCTTCCTGTTAGTGAGCGTGCTGTGCTGCGTTCAGGTGCATCAGTACCGTGTTGCCATGACGGCCAAGGACTGCTCCATCATGGTTGCCCTGGTGCCCGGCGCCGATGACGAACACGACGAAGACCAGGATGTGTGAGTGCTCACATTTAGAGCAATCTCTCTCATCGTGCTTCTCTAACGCTCTCATGCATTCTACTGAAAATGACCGACAAACTGTCGACATGCTATATCGTACGCAGCGCTGTCCTGTTTCACTCACTCCACTTTTGCCCACTTGTACGACTAAAACACTCTTGCAGCACTCCTGAAACGCTTTTAGTGGCACTACTGAAATGCTCTCATATTTATACGACTGAAACACTAAAATCATCCGACTGAAATACACTACAATTTTTTTCACTGTCATTCATACTAACCTTTTTTTTTTTTTTTTGCCCACATACACGACTGAAACTATCTCCAACACTACTGAAACACTCTTGTAAACTACTGAAATTGCATTCATACAAGCCACACTGCTAAAATGCTCTCACACCATTTTTTTTTCCCGCTGTCATACACACTACTGAAATCCTCTCTCACATCCACACACTCCTCTCAACTGGAAATCTCTAAAACAAAAAAAAATCTCGCATTTGAAATGCTCACACTTGAACTACATTTTTTCCCCCACTCATGTGCACTACCAGAACACTGATGACTGACTGAAATGCTCTCATGCATATCACTGACCTTTTTTTTTTTTGCTCACATACACGACTGAAACCATCTCCAACACTACTGAAACACTCTTGTAAACTACTGAAATTGCATTCATACAAGCCACACTGCTAAAATGCTCTCACACATTTTTTTCTTCTCCACTCACACGCACTACTGAAATGCTTTTGTACATGCCAGTCAAATCCTTTTTCTGTAGTGAAACTCTCAGCAGCTAATGAAGCACCGTCACTCTGCTTACCTACGCATGTGTCAAAAATCACGCGTCCTCCTTAATGTTCAACTTTCCTTGTGGCTCGCGCGCAGGTTGTGCCCTCAGCGTCGCCTGCGAGACTTCCTGTCGTCCCGGCCGCCCACCTTCTCCTACTCGGTGTCCATCCTGGACCTGGACCCCAAGCCGCTGGACAGCATCCCCCTGCAGTTAAGCCTGGACCACAAGATCGTGTCGTGCTACACCAGGACGCTGGCCGCCGCCGTGGACCGAGACGACCGCACGCTGCTCTTCAGGCCCGTCTGAGCGGGCGCCGCCTTTGTAGCGTTTCGCCGGGAACCCGCTTCCTGCTCTCCCCTGCCTTAACTTCCTGTTTGATTGACTTTGGTGGTGGTGGTGGTGGGGAGGGGGATGAGAGAGGCAACTTTGTCTCCCTGAATGGAGGCCTGATGAGGTGTCTCCATGGCAACGCTGCTTACCTGGATAGTGCCAAGAGAGCCTTAGAAGGCTGGTCATGATGATGTCATTTTCTGAATGTATGGCCGGGACCTTTGCCAAACCACTGAGGACCTGCAACACATTTTTACTTGGACTAATGTGACCGTGTGTGTGTGTGTGTGTGTGTGTGTGTGTGTGTGTGTGTGTGTGTGTGTGTGTGTGTGTGTGTGTGTGCCCCTTTCACAGAGATCCTTCAAAGTTGCGGCGTTAGAAAATACTGTGGTTCTCAGAGATTTTTTTAACAAAATAATGACGTAGTAACGAGCCACTTTCACACACGAGGTTGCGCGTCAAGAGCCAGAACGTTGCGCTCCCGAGGTTTACAAAGGATTTATATCCGAGCTTTAGCAAATGAAATGAAATTGTCGTCGCAAGCCCGCTTCATGAAAAAGATTCAGTTTTAAAGCCTTCGCGAAAAAAAAAAAAATCGTTTGTTGTCACGGGTTTGTTTCACGGCAAAGGAGCTGGTTCCCCCCAAAAAAATCCTTTGAATTGACTTAATGCAAACATGTTTACCGGTGGCGCGTTTACATGATCAAATCCACTTTTTGTTTTTGCAGTGTAAGATTCAACGCGCCCACTCGATAACACACTGACTGGTGAATGCGGGGGGAGGGGG